GGAAAAGTTAGGAGACACTGGAAAATTCACTGGAAAGTCCTCCAAGAAATGTGAATTTAAGATCGGGGCTTACAAAAGCTCCTGTAGATGTAATGTCAAGGTGGCCCAAAGCAAGGCTTCTAAAAATTAAAGAAATTATGACTTTTAAATTAAAAGGACTCAAAAAAGCAGGATGAATGTCAGTTACTGAGAGAACAGCTTTATAATCAAGCCTCCTGACAACCATCCAGGTTGACCATAGTGGTGGAGTGTGAATGGAACAAGCTGGCGTCCTGCCCAAAGCAACGCCCGCAGTGACAATATGGCTATAACGAATTAACACATTCCCTGTGGAGAGGCAGGATAGACACACAGAGAGAAATCTGCCGTGGAAAATCATTGAGGAAAAGCATAGGAAAATATTAAGACTTGTTATTTTTTTTAAAAGCCACCAAAATGGCTTCATTTCTTATATTTTCCATTTATGCTTCAAAATCAAAGGGATTTATATATTTCTAGATAAACTGTACTGTAACGTGATGACTTCCCAGCCAAACATCAATGACATAAGAGGCAAATGGTCGACCACCTGGCAACAAGCATACAAAAATGCACCTTTTAAGATGCCAGGCTCTGATTTTGACACCTTTAGGAAAGCCAAAACATATGGAGGGGGCAGGTTCCCAGCATTCAGCCATTTTTGTCTCAGCTGAGCAGGGATGATGGAGCAGATTGCAATTCTGATATTTCCTCGTTATATAATCCAAAGTAGAGACAGACAGGCAGAAAGCTGCGGTTCAGATTAACAGAGAAGCAGACTTATGGAAAGACAGACATGAGGAGGCGGAGTAGCTGGTCAGAAAGAAAGTACACATTAAACTTTACATTAACACAGCCGGTTAAACTACTTTGCACAATTAAAGACACATTATTCCAGTAAAACCTTCCACATATTAAGAATAATATATAAAGCATCTACCACGCTCTCCAATTTTATGGCCTTTTAACTTTTACGGAGCGTCACAGTATTGCCAATAAAGTCGGCAGACAGAACAATGCGCAGGCAGGCAAACGTGGCAGTGTCGGACATGCAAGAAATTCAAAGCAATCATCTGTGGCCTCCAGGGATAATCACTGCAAAGCCCCACTGTCCCATTCACTGAGGATAAAACCCACTGGATTAATCTGCAGGCCTACAGAACACACACACACACACTTACATAACACACAGACCACTCTTCCTCTCTTTTGCATGCTTTTCTTTCACTTTGACATTCACAGCCTCTCTCTCACTTCTGCTCTCACAAACACACACATGCGCACACAATCTCCTCTCCTCCATTTCTTCTCTACATGTATACATTCAAATGGACACCTGTCAGTATACGTCTCTGTGCGCACTCATTTAGACATGCAGATTGTTGACAGGCACATATAGAGCTGTATATATTAGGTAAAAACACACTCTTCTGTTTGTACGTGTGACAAATGGGGGGAAAGGATGTAAAAACAGCATGGTTCTCCTCCTGCGTGGACAACAGGATTAGAGTTATCACATGCTTGTGCTAACAACAAAAACATAAACGTCCTTAAAAGATAATCGCGGCTTCTTTGCAAAAGGATTTGTACTTTTGGTGTTGCACCGACTTTAACCTTGCTGTAAGGGTAAAACTGAAGTCATCAAAGGAATCGAGTTACTGCAACTCGATAACGCCATTGTGATCAATAAGAAGGATCATATCACCATTTTGAATGTTTTATAAATGATAATTTGATGAAGCACCAGGATCAAAATACAGAACAAACAACATTAAGTATTTCTTTGTCTATCCTTGATGTCTAACACATGCATAAACTGCATCTCTTATTTAGATATTTGCAAAAATGTAAGAGTTTTAATATGTATTTTAACATTTTTACATCCATATTTACTTGTGAAAAGACGTGTTTTTTTTACTGAAACAGATCCACCCATTTCATCGAACATACTGTGATTGGAGGTAAAAGACAAAGGTGCCTTTAAGTTACATTAAGTTGGCCAGACATGAAACAAAGTGTTAAAGAAATGTGCAATAATCTTTAGATATGAAATCTCGTGTTCCGCATTTAGCATTTCAAGTTCTAAACCAGTAATTGCTCTTTGTTGGTGCTACTGCTGCTGGATTCTTTAAAATTAGAAGTGCACAGATTTTGAAATTCTGCATTTACATTTGCCAAGACCAATTTTTTGCTTGTTTGCTTTGTGTTTGTTGTTATTTTGTGTCCGTAGATGCGCCTACCTTAGTTATAATGAGTGGATATTTGAGTTACGGTTGTCTTCCTGTCATCTCAAAATCATCTTCCTATTCTCCTTTGAGCACTGGGATTTTCACCCAGTAAAGTGTGATTATCTGATTTGATGAGGGCAGTTGAACAGGTGTCCCCAACAAACTGGTGAGTGTATATCAGTCTATTTCATCTGTAAATTGTTTTGTATGGTGAAAAGAACTTAAACTGATAAAAACTCACCCTGTTAAAGCTAAACTCTGTAAGCAGCACTCATTCTGACTGACTCAGCTTTAAAAATTAACCCTGCGGGTGCAATCAGAATATACTGGAGGGCTTCTTAAAACATCTGCCCCTCTCAGCCCTAGATTGATAAATGATGTGCTGCCCAAACTAGTTTAAAGAGTGCATGTGTTTATAAAAACCTCACAGGGTAAAATAAAAAAGGGAAGTCATTGCCAGAAGAAGATCCCCGCACTCATTTTATTGCTCAAAGTTAATAAGTGAGATTGTGATCTGGGCGCATAATCACTCGGGTTTGTCTATCATGTGGCAATTTCACAGACGATTGCACTGAAATTTAACAGGAAGGCGTAAAGAGCAAAATGAATAAATAGCAAGGGGAGTACATTTAAGTATCGAATGAAGAGGAAGGAGAGGAAAAGTTTGCTACGCTGTTTGTGGCATGTGTGCGTGTTTGACAGATGTAGCGGGAGACTGGTGGTAATTTCTCACCTCTTTGTGGGCAGGGTGACAGAGTGGTGAGTGATAGGTGCTGTGGGGGAGGATGGGGGATTGATCATGGTGGGGGGCAGGTATGTGCTAATGAAAGCAGGAAGCACTTTCTCACCAGGAAGCTAATTATTTGAGCACCCTGGGTTCATGTTAATCATAACATTTCGGCTCCAGGAAAAGCAAACAGCTGCAGTTAACATTTCATCAACCAAACCAGTTACACTTGGTTCACTGTACACCAGCTTTCAGCAAAATCAGGACACAACTGTAGGACACATTTAAGATTTCTTAAGGTGAAAAAAACAAAACAAAAGTAAGTTTAATAAACTGAAGAAGAGCAGAATATGTCCAACAATAATCCAGTACAAGGAAAAACCAAAACTCAGTGGAATAACTCCAGAAAATAAACCAGGAATCCTACAGGAGCAGACCATAAAGAGAGAAAGTGAAGCAAGTGAAGCAAAGCAACCAGAGACACAAGAAAACATATTATCAAAGTAAAACAGGAAGTAAGGGAGGAAAAAATAGAGAAGAAAACACAGGAAGTCCTAGGAAAACATTATTAATTAAATTTAACAAATTGTTAGAAGTAAAGTTCACCTGTTGCAGCTGAGATTGATATTTTTTTTACATGCTGGATGCATTTGCACTCCATAATTTAAAGCAGCAGCAAAACCAAAATACAACATAGGACATAGAATTGACTGGAAGTTGGATATGCTTCAATTAGTCCATGTTGGGTGTGCTGCAGTCATTTCCTGCCCTAATTTGAAATATCCACCTGTTTACATCGAGTTACAAACAACACCAGGCTGCCAAAAAAAGACAACACAAACACACACACACACACACACACACACACACACACACACACACACACACACACACACACACACACACACACACACACCTGTTGATCTGCTTAAGAGTCGGCCTGAGCTCTTTGTCCTCTCTGACATTAACACAGGTGCACATACAGGAAGGGGAGAAAGACTGGAGCAGTTTCTACTTTAACTTGAGTTAAATTCATAACAAAATTCAACCTTAATGTCGCAACTGCGCAGCTTCAGTCATAGGAGTGACTATTGTACACGTTTTCTCAGACAGGGCCTTAAAAACTAGCATCTTAAAATAATTATTTCAAATGCTTATATGCTGACCTCTGATCTTTTTTTTCTGCTTCTGTTTTTCTTGCACCTGACGCTCCTAACCGAACATCCATCTTTCCCTCATGAAAATGATCTGTTACAATTAACGGCTCCCTGTTCACTGTGTCTGTACGGTCCTCTGGAAAAAGGAAGTGAAGGAAAGGTGAAAAGTCAGACCTCTGGATTAAAACAGATCTGAACCACAAACAGCCTGGCCATTTTATAAAAACAATAAGTGTGATAACGAATGCTGTCTCACTTGTTTCCAGAGCGCAGAAACTAGATTCAGGTATTTTTCACGACTTACTGCTTCAGTTTGCCTCGTTTCACGAATAGATTAACTTCAGATTTTCATTTTTGGGGGGGCACTTTGAGAACAAACGTTTCGCTTTGTGCGTAAAGTGTTTTTCAGCGTGTTTCAGACTCGGGAGCTGTCCAAGGTCCTGAACCTGCACACGGCTTTTCTGTTCAATGGCCAGCTACACCTACAAGCTTTCAGAAACATGAAAAACAAGATTACACAGTCTGTGTTATCCTGTTGTTTAATCCTTACATAAAACAACCACTCTTCCCCTGTGACAGAAAACAGGAAACAGCCAAAAGTTCAAACAATTCAGCACAGAGTCGCTACAAACACAACAGAAACACCTCAGCAACATGGTCCTCGTTTCCCCTCAGATATCATCACCTCACAAACAAAAAATAACCTAGCAAATATGACGCGTTCTTACAGCTGAGAACTCTGTCACGTCCTGGGACGTATAAACTGCTAAAACCTGAAATCTGGAGAATCATTCAAACTTTAATTATCGCTCTTCTTTTGATTATTCTGTGGGTCAAAATGAGAGGATTAAAAAATCGAATTAAACCGACCTGGTTAAGTTTCTTCGGCTCTTTCTCTTCTTTTTCTTTTGCTGTATGTTTGTACAGGGTGAAGATGTCTGTCCGTCCAGCCGCTCCGTTCAACGGGACTGTCCCCGCCCCCCAACCCCCACGCCCTCCGCTGGATCAGCACCGCCCTCCCCCTTAACTGCCATAGCAAGCGTTAATCTCCGCAGGTCTACTCATCAAACACTTCCTGTTAATGACTCACAAAATAAAACCTGTGAAGGAACTGTGTAGTTACTTTAAGTGAAAACTGTGTATAACGTGACTGGTGTTTGGTCATTAGGAGGTGCATACACAGGAAGTGGTGCTGAAAAAAACTTCCGACATCCCAAGAAATCCAGGACTATTTTTAAAGGTGGCAAAGCAACAACACTACAAGTCGGAAATGTCGAAATATACATGTCATACATAGATTATAGCACAGGGTAAATCCACGAAATGCTTTACTCCTGTTATTGGAAGGAAATATAAGTGAATAATACACATTTCCCTAACATTTGTGAAAGATCCCCGGTTTGATTACATGGGAAGACACAAATTCCTTGAGAGTTGCATTAAGAAGGACGTAAGGCATTAGGCACAGGCCAACCAGGCAGTGCTACCTGCTCTCCTATTAGATAAAATATAAGATATATAGCAACACAGCTACTTCTGACAACAATAATAATAATACTAGGTTTGGTTTTAATTTGACAGTCATGCCACCTGTTTTCCTGTCTCATTGACGCCTCTCACAAAATGGCCGCGCCCTCTGACGTCAGCGGTAACGGATAAAAAGGTAGGTCAGCTGCGCGCTGCTCAAAGCCATGTTGGCTGCAAGCTGCTGTCTTTCTGCATTGATATCAGGCAGAGCTGCAGGCTGATCTGCGCAAACTGCAGATTATTGTCTGTGATCTAAAGTCACGGTGCTTTAGTCCGACTGTTTACTACTTAGAAAGCAGAGTAACTGACAAAGAAAACTTTTTACTGAAGGAACTCAAATGAAAACAATAATAAATGTGAGAAAGAAAAATCTGACAAATCTGACTTTTTTCAGTGCAGGTGATTAATGCGATTTGAGGGATAGATAAGAGAGCATTCAAAGAAAATGTTATTTATTTATAGAATATTTCTGACATAAATCCAAAAGCGTGTAGTTCAAGTTTTTTTCTATTCTTTTTTTTTAAATTGGTATACAGAAAGATTTTCATGGTTACAAGTATGATGATTTTCTTTCCTACCCTAAATATTTTTTTAATAACCTTACATCCCCTTACATGCAATACATTTCCCATCTCCACTGACCATACTTCCTGTCACAAGCATATCTATCCATGTGTGTTTATATGCACACAGAGCCCAAAAAGCCTCTTGAGATTGTCCTCTGTGTGCTCAGCTGTTTGCCCCTGGAGTCCTTGACTTTACATAATCACACAAAATGCTAAAATGCTTGAAAAGACATGGTGCAGGGGCAACACGTCTTCTTTACTAAAAAGGTCTTTTTAGCTGGAGAAATTGCAGAAATTAGAAGCTTGTTGTTCCTTTTTTAAGATGAAAATTTGCTTGTGTGCACTCTGTTTTTGACAGCTTTTATTTATTGTACTTTAACGGATACGTGGCCTTAGATGACTCACATCTGCAGACGCAAACAGCATACATGCAAGACAAACATTAAGCAGGTAAAAGATGAGAGCCATGGTGCCTTGATTATTTCTGTGACTGTGGAGAGATAACACAGGAGAGGTCCTAATGAGCTGGGGAAAGGAGTGTAAGGTAAAGGCTTAGCAGTGATCAGATCATATCATCTTTCTCCTTGTCAATTCCCACACTGTCAAAAAAAAAAAAACGCATTAAAAAAAATTATGTCACTACGCTTTTCCAAGTGTCCTTTGAGCCAATCAGCCCTTAGGTTCTTTTTCTTTAAATTTGTTGTTTTGTCAAGTAAGTCCTTACTGTGCTCCATCAGCAGCATGTGGTGATCCTACACTAGTCCTTGTCATCTCTCCTAGTTTAATGGATTAATGTCCTTATCGCTCTACTGTCTTCTTCCTCATTATTTACTATTAAAACACTAAAACATTCTCCAGAAATCCAGTTGACCCTCGAGGCCTGAAAGCAGCTGATTAGCAGCAGAATGGATCTATGCAGGTGATGGATTGGCTTTCCTCCCTCCCAGTTGATGATCCAATAGCAATAAAGTCAAGAACCCAATAACACTGTGACACCGTGTTGCCACTGATTGAAGCAGTCCTCCTCGAGTGTTTGAAAATGGCTCAGAGTGCAAATTTATGCATAGCACAGAACATCCAGCAAAGAGACATTTCCAAGTGATTACTCTGATGTGTGACAGTTGGGAACTGGCAACTGGCTGTGTCAATTGAATGCATATAATCTGATAAGTATTTAGCTATCATTTACAAAACAGTGACAGGATTCCTGCTGCATAATGTGTTAAGTACTACACGTGTGGTATTGGGACATTTGAATACTGCACTATTGTTAATCATAAAACCCATGCAGCTACAAAGATATCAACTCATTTTCAGGGTGTATAGTAATCTACACGTGTACCTGAAACTGACCGGCTGAATTTAATGAAACTCAGAGGTGGAGGAGAGGCAAAGGGACAGGTCATTAACTTTTGGATCAGGTCTGAATCCCTTTGTTTATGTGCTATTGTTATGGGGGTTTTTTGTTGTCTTTTCTACCTTTTCGCTTTGAATTACAAACATACTATACTGTGTTGCAACAGTGAACCATGAATTATGCCTAATAGACCTAGAACAAGATTCCAAGTTATCCTCAGGCACATGCTGTTTGACAGCTGAGCAACCACAGCAAACAAGCCGGCTGTGGACAAACATTCTGCTATCAGTGATATTTGGACAATGTTTGTCGCTGGCTTATCAAATACTACAGTCCTGGTACTGATCTCTGTGCAGAAGAACAGATGTTATCTTTGGGAGGAAAGAGCAGTTTTTATTTCACCTAAATCAGCTTCAAATGGAAGTTGGGAACAACTGTAGTTCAGGAGGTAGAGCAGGTAGTCTACTGAGGCTAACCCTAACACCCCACCAACCACCACCTTGGACATAAATGATTGAAATCCTCAGTATCTGTCATTGATGAAGGAAATTGTACAAGTATGATAACCAGATACATTAAAAATGCCAGTATATAATATACAGTGGGGCAAAAAAGTATTTAGTCAGCCACCGATTGTGCAAGTTCCCCCACTTAAAATGATGACAGAGGTCAGTAATTTGCACCAGAGGTACACTTCAACTGTGAGAGACAGAATGTGAAAAAAAAAATCCATGAATTCACATGGTAGGATTTGTAAAGAATTTATCGTAAATTAGGGTGGAAAATAAGTATTTGGTCACCTCAAACAAGGAAAATCTCTGGCTCTCACAGACCTGTAACGTCTTCTGTAAGACGCTTTTCTGTCCCCCATTCGTTACCTGTATGAATGGCACCTGTTTGAACTCATCATCTGTATAAAAGACACCTGTCCACAGCCTCAAACAGTCAGACTCCAAACTCCGCCATGGCCAAGACCAAAGAGCTTTCGAAGGACACCAGGAAAAGTATTGTAGACCTGCACCAGACTGGGAAGAGTGAATCTACAATAGGCAAGCAGCTTGGTGTGAAAAAATCAACTGTGGGAGCAATCATCAGAAAATGGAAGACATACAAGACCACTGATAATCTCCCTCGATCTGGGGCTCCACGCAAGATCTCATCCCGTGGGGTCAAAATGATCATGAGAACGGTGAGCAAAGATCCCAGAACCACACGGGGGGACCTGGTGAATGACCTGCAGAGAGCTGGGACCAAAGTGACAAAGGTCACCATCAGTAACACACTACAACGGCAGGGAATCAAATCCCGCAGTGCCAGACGTGTTCCGCTGCTGAAGCCAGTGCATGTCCAGGCCCGTCTGAAGTTTGCCAGAGAGCACATGGATGATACAGCAGAGGATTGGGAGAATGTCATGTGGTCAGATGAAACCAAAGTAGAACTTTTTGGTATAAACTCAACTCGTCGTGTTTGGAGGAAGAAGAATACTGAGTTGCATCCCAAGAACACCATACCTACTGTGAAGCATGGGGGTGGAAACATCATGCTATGGGGCTGTTTTTCTGCCAAGGGGACAGGACGACTGATCCGTGTTAAGGACAGAATGAATGGGGCCATGTATCGTGAGATTTTGAGCCAAAACCTCCTTCCATCAGTGAGAACTTTGAAGATGAAACGAGGCTGGGTCTTCCAACGTGACAATGATCCAAAACACACCGCCCGGGCAACAAAGGAGTGGCTCCGTAAGAAGCATTTGAAAGTCCTGGAGTGGCCTAGCCAGTCTCCAGACCTCAACCCCATAGAAAATCTGTGGCGGGAGTTGAAAGTCCGTGTTGCTCGGCGACAGCCCCAAAACATCACTGCTCTCGAGAAGATCTGCATGGAGGTATGGGCCAAAATACCAGCTACTGTGTGTGCAAACCTGGTAAAGACCTATAGTAAACGTTTGACCTCTGTTATTGCCAACAAAGGTTATGTTACAAAGTATTGAGTTGTATTTTTGTTATTGACCAAATACTTATTTTCCACCCTGATTTACGAATAAATTCTTTACAAATCCTACCATGTGGATTCATGGATTTTTTTTTTCACATTCTGTCTCTCACAGTTGAAGTGTACCTCTGGTGCAAATTACTGACCTCTGTCATCATTTTAGGTGGGGGAACTTGCACAATCGGTGGCTGACTAAATACTTTTTTGCCCCACTGTAATGTGGGTTAAGAAAGTAGATAGTAGGTTTTTTCTTACTTCATGTGAACATACCACATCAGGCTCTGAAAACACCATCTGAGAAATCTTGACTTCTCACAACACCAGTCCATCTGCACAAGGATTCGCAATCTTTTTTGGGGGGGTTAATCCTCCTTTTAAATGTAGGTTTCCTTCAGATTCATCTGAGCTCACATGTTCAATTTGCACTGATGACTTTCTCGTCATGTGTTCCTGCAGTGCTGTGTTTATGTACAAATTCATGAGGCTTTGCTTTGCCTGTGTCTTTATGTGAGCATAAAGTATGGACGAGTGATATTTCCTATG